CGTCAACACACTTTCCCTCATCCATCTTTTCCCTCCATTTAAACTCCTTCATTTCCCATCTTTAAAACTCTTCTATCTTGCCAGTAATTAATCCAGATATCTTCAGAAATGTCTGTTGTTTTTATTAAGTAAAACGTGCCAAGTTTTATTAATCAGAGCCGATCAGAATAATCAAGTGTACAATGTTTTGATGTTAAATTTTGATTCTGTTAATAAATGACCACATTCATTTTGATGGGTCAAAGAAAATTAACGTCTCATGTCACTGATTAGACCATCTCCAACACAGTACCTCTGTCACATATCTGTCAAGTAGCTCGAAAAAGAGAGAACCCGTTATTAAATATTGATTGTAGTGGAGCTCCTAAGCTAACTGAAGCTAGCCTAACCCTACATCACTACAGAGCCTAAGAGTAAACTCTGAGGAAGACATTTCATCATTTAGACTGACAATGAACTCACTTCTAATTAGTTCAGAAGAACATTTGTTTCGCACATTAGTCCACTTATTTTTCATGAGAGAAAATCATTTCCACAAATCCAGTGGAAGATGGGATGAGGACAAAGGATACAACAGCTGGATGTTGGGGAGGTCAGCTGCCTGAAGAACTTGCATCCATCTAGCTGCTGTTCCCTTGGACTGCCACCTTTCCTTCTCCTGAGCTTCTGTGGTGAGTTGCTGCAGCCACACGTTCCTCATGAAGCTCATCCACAGACATACTTAGTCTGACAAAAGGAGTAAAAAGTTTTATGATCTGAGTTCACTAGAGGCACATAGGTCATGTACAGTGGTAAATAAATAGGACAAATATTTGCTTATCTTTAGAATTTTGCATCATATCCTAACTACCTTTTGAAATTACTTTAATACATCATATATAAACTGTTTAATTTTATAAAGATGTGTATACGTTTGCATATGTTTATATACTGTAAAGTAAGTTTGATCATGTATTTATTTGTATATATCAATTGTATACATTTGTATATTGTATTCAATCAACCTTTATTTAGACAGGTAAATCCCATTGAGCCTCGAGGACTCGTTTACATTTATTCATTTGTATATAATTATCATTAATAAAACATGATTCATCTTCACCTTGTTTGAGGCATTGGTGTGAAGAGAGAATGGGAGTGGGTTACTTCCACTTTTCAATTTTTGGACCACTTCTTCTATTGCATTTGGACACAGGACATCAGTGACCACAGCTTCAGCCTTCGTCCTCCCACAGTACATCTTCTTGGCAATGCTGGAGTCATTCAGTGTTTGGAGAGTCAGCTTAAATCAGTTGGCTGAGTTGTAACTTAAAGTATGTTTCACAGTGTGGTAGTATACTGTACATGGCTATCTCTGCAGCCGTAATCTGTAATCAGAAACATAGGAAATACTATATAAATTCGTTTGTGTATTTTTTAAAATGTATTTTATGTATTAAACTTTTAATTCTACTTGTTTATCATAACAAAAATACATATCTTTGGCCTTTAATGCTCACATTCATTGCACTTTCCCACATTAAACGTGTCCTTTTTTTTACATACCACATCTTCTTATGGCGTTGCCTGGTGGACAACATACTGGTCACGGGTTCTCCTGGTTTTGTTGTCCTTCACATTTCTTATGTGTCCAACGGCAGAAGCATGACTGGGGCAGTGTCTTTAGCGATATGATAAGATGCTGCTTTATTAATGTTGCACCACCTCACTTTTCCTCTCTTAAGGCACAGCACGGCTAACTGAGTTCTGACCTGTGGTTTGTTTCAGGGAAGGAGGTTGAAGTCTGTCGGACCTGCAGCTGTAGTTCACACACGTTTACTAACGTTGTGAAGGTGGAACAGCTGAAGAGGATTATTATTTAATATATGTAAAGAAAGGTCTAAAAATAAACTATTTAATATATGTAAATAGTTTATTTTTTTACATTTATTTTGTACAGTTACAGCTGTTACTACATGTAAATGGTAAATGGACTGTACTTATATAGCGCCTTTCTATCTTATTTCAAGACACTCAAAGCTCTTTACATTACAATCTGTGCCTCATTTACCCATTCACACAGCACTCTACTAGATCTCTACAAAGCTAATTCAACAAATCATTCTAATGAGACTAATCAGTGCTTTAGATCACATTCATACACTGATAGGACACACATCAGAGGCTATGAGGGGTTCAGTGTCTTGCCCAGGGACACTTCAGCATGTGACTGCTGGTGGATTCGAACCCCCAACTCTCGCATTGGAGGACGACTGCTCTAACCACTCAGCCACAGCCGCCACATGTGCCTGTGTGACAACTGGGACAAAGCTTTAACTCAGAAGTA